ATTTCAACTGTAAACCATGAGCTTAAGCTTATGTTATTCTCTAAACTATTAAATGAAAGACCTTGTCTTAAACACTTATGTATTTCCGATAGTCTGCACCCAGTGGGTGCTTGAGTAGTGAAGGTTTACAAATTAGATTGGGTGAGAGAGACTCGAAGCAGATAGAGAAGAACCAGAAAACTTTCACAATAAATTCGATGTGGTTTGTGGGCCAAGATGAGGACGGTAGCGGAGAAAATGGATCTGCAGAGGAAAATCAACAGGATTTAGTGACTGGAGACAAGGAGACAAGCCTAGATTGTATTCATTTTTACATCTAGTAAATAAATGTGAGTTAGAGACAGCAGAGAAGAGTAGAGAAGGTCCTCAGTAAAGGCACAGCACACAATAGGTGCTCAAATGATGCTCAAGCATCAGTAGCAAGATTGGGACTTAAGTCCCTCCAACACTGAGATTCTGTGCCATATGCAGATGCTCAAGATAGTTGGGGAGCAAGGCATTCTCAGATATGGAAGAAAGAGAAAAGGAAGAATTGTTATCCTCCCACTGACAGGTACTTTATGAGAAGGGTTAATACAGGCTCACAACGCCCCTACCAGTGAATGAAAGGAAATGTAAGACCAAGAGGAACAAAAATCTTAAAGCCAAGATTTTAAAGAAATGCTTACAACTCTTTGCAAATTTATTTAATTATTCATCTTCTCCCAAATACCGTGAGTTAAGTAGAACACGTATTATCATCTCTATTTTTATATTGGACTCCTGGTGTGGCACTGTAGGATCAACACTGGGCTTTGAACCACAAGGTTGGCAGTTCAAATGCACCAGCTGCTCTTTGGAACCTCCTTGGAAAACCTATATAGGGCTACTATGAGTCAGAAACAACTCGACGGCACTTAAGAACAACAATATTTTTATATTAGAAGATTATTGAGATGCAAAAAAGATTGAATGGAGTTCCCAAGTTCATAAAATAAATGACCGATGTGGTGATGATCAAGACCCTAGTGTCCTGATTGCTGTCAGCTCAAAACTCTTGACACCGAAACTCTTTACCTCCCTTTTCCCTGATGTAGAGCCTATGGATCCAGAAGTTATGCATGCACATGACCAAATAGGGAAAGTGCAAGCAACTGCAGCATTATCTCAGTTAGTTATTAATATTTATCATTATTCCTGGAGCTGAGCATTTGCTTTCCATATTCACTAGTGCTTGACCAGTCTCTTGAGTTTATCTGCAGCTGGGAAAGTAGAATAATTAAGTCATTTAGTGATGTGAGTACCTGTTTGCTAAGCATTTAAGGAAGCTAATTTGGCATGGTCTCTTAATACTAGCTATCAATATTGTGCCCAAGTTTGTACTTCCTTTTGTTACTTTTTTTAAGGGAGAGCTCAAGAGTCCGGCTCTGCAAAATTATCCCACATACCAACCAGTATATTTTTAAAAATTCTTAATTGTGCTAACACTTGTTCTATTTCCATTTAAAGAAATGTTTGTTTACTTGAGCTATTTCCAAAGACAGAGTTTGGAAAGAAAAAAAAAAAAGGGCAAAAGCCAAGAACTTGAGAGTTCTGTGGAGTAGATATAGACCAAGAAAGAAGTGAAAATTATCAGTACAGGAGATGTTATAGAAAGTCATAATTATAGATTTAACTAATGAATCTCTTTTTATATGCTTTATTCATGATAAAATATAACGAGATTATTGTATGTTGTTGTTGTTATGTGCCATCGAGTCGGTTCCGACCCATAGCGACCCTGTATAGGGTTTCTGAGGGTGTAAATCTTTACGGGAGTAGAAAGCCTCATCTTTCTCCCGCGGAGCACCTGGTAGTTTCGAACCGCTGACCTTAAGGTTCGCAGCCCGATTCGTAACCACTACGCTACCAGAGCTCCATTGTATAGTAGTTTTAAAATTTTCTTTATATCTTAATAAGAATACTCAACAAATCTAGGAACTATTTTTCTTTGTAGACCAGTACTCTTGATGCTGCTTAAATAAGACCCTAGCCATAATTAAGTCTAATATTAAACAAAGGTATATTTCAATTTAGTAAATGTAGTAAATACAGCTGACTACTAAAACCTGTGTTCAAGACAGATGGCCTAAATTAATGAATAAAATAATTAGTCAAGAAAATATATGTGTAAACAAAGATTTGCCATTAATATTTTTTTTCTTATCTTGTGGAATCAACTGCATAGAGAACCTTGAAACAGATTGATAAGCGCATTAATATCTCTCTTGGAGATGGGAATTTGGATAAGTATAAAGAGAATTTCATCTTTGATTTAGACTTCAGTATATATTAGATTGGAGTCCTGGTTTGGCACTGTGGGTTAATGTGCCAGACTGCAAAGCCATTTGAACTGCAAGGTCGGCAGTTCACGCTCACCAGCTGCTCCTTGGAAACCCTATACAGGGTCGCTATGGGTCGGAACCGACTCTAAGGCACTTCACAACAACAACAAATAGATTAAGGAGCTCTGGTAGCGTAGTGCTTACGAGTCGGGCTGCTAACCTCAAGGTCAGCAGTTTGAAATTGCCAACCTGTTCCACAGGAGAAAAATGAGACTTTCTGCTCCCATAAAGATTGTTGTTGCTGTGTAGTGCCGTCGAGTCTGTTCCGACCCATAGCGACCCTGTATAGGGTTTCCGAGGAGCAGCTGGTGAGCTTGAGCCACCGACCTTGCAGTTCAAAGGGAGTCTGGCGCATTAATCCACAGCACCACACCAGGACTCCCCCATAAAGATTGTTGTTGTTGTTGTTATGTGCTGTGGAGTCGGATAGCGACCCTTTACAGGGTTTCCGAGGCTGTAAATCTTTATAGGAGCAGAAAGCCTCATCTTTCTTCCGCGGAACAGCTGGTAGTTTCGAACTGTTGACCTTGTGGTTCGCAGCCTGATTTGTAACCACTGTGCTACCAGAGTCCTTAATTACAGCCTTGGAAATCCTATGCAGGGTTGCGACTATGAGTCGCAACCAACTCCAGGGCACACCACCACCGTATCTTAGATTTCTCTTTCCTGAATATTATTTATTGAGAAGAATTCCTGTTTTCTTCTATTTATTTATTTTAAATGAAGAGACAATGTAAAAGTAAAAATCATATAAAGTACACTCAAGCTAAGACAAGTTCAAGTTCTCTCATTAAAAAATAATTTGCCCGCGTTAGGCATTTATAACATTTTTTAACTCAATTGTATTTGTGAAAAGTATCCTCTGTATATAAATAGAGTTATCTCTGTTTTCTTTTCTAACTTGAGTGTATTTGTATATATCACCTTAACTTTGTTTTATTGCATATATTTAAAAATAATGTTTCACAATTTGTATTTTAGAACCATAAAAATAAAGAAGAAAACAACAGGGGGGCGGAAAGAGTAAAGTTATGATAAAGACCTGACTGGGTAGGTGTTTCATGGAAGCACAGTATAAAATTTACATATATATATATATTCGGTTGAGCTCTTAAAATTAATAACTAGAAAAAAGTATAGCTCATACATATGCATATCAAAATTACTTTAAGACTTATTATTGTTATTGTTAGGTACCATCCAGTCCATTTCAACTCATAGCAATCCCATATGACTGAGTGGAACTGCCCCATAGTGCTTACTAGGCTGTAATCTTTACTAAAGCAGATCACCAAGTTTCTCTCCCGAGAAGCTACCAAGGTTTCAAACCACCAACCTTTTGGTTAGCAGCTGGGTGCTCAGCCATTGCACCACTATGACTCCTTATTTTAAGGTCTATTAGGTTTTTTAAAATTATATTACAAATATGTGTGTCTCTGAAGCACCTTTTCTTTCCTCTGGATTTCTTGCATAAATAACAGTTCATCATTGTTGAGGTCCCACAATTTACCTAGTGTGAAAGTAAGTACCTAACAGAAATGTAGCACAAGATAGTTGCTCAGTAAACGTTTGATCTTTTTTATTTTAAGATGCATTCTAGGAACTCCATGAGTGGACATGCTGTGGGGGTAACAAGAAGGACTATATAATTATTAGCCCTTTAGAGTTTACAACACGTTTTCTTATATTGCTATTAGGAAGTTAGAACCTAAATCTCAAAAGGCATAAATGATTCAGGATTTTCATCTTAAATAATAGCTGTTGTATTGGTGACAGTCAACTATCATCAGCTGAAGTGCTATTATTCTATAAAGAAATAAATAAGGAAGAGTCTTTACTGATACAAAATCAAAACCAAACCCACTGCCGTGAAGTCAATTCCAACGCATAGTGAGTGACCCTGTGCAGGGTTTCTGAGGCAGTAAATCTTTACAGGAGCAGATAGCTTTCTCCATAGAGCAGCGGGTGTGTTTGAACCGCTGATCCAATGGTTAGTAGTTAAGTGCATATCCTACAATGCTATCAGGGCTCCTTTCTTTACTTATAAAATTGCCCTATATCAATGCAAATATAATGTGGGCCGGATACCTGGAGAAACTTGACCTTTATTTTTCTTCCACATTTCACCCTATTTCTGGCCCAGGCCTCTACTGACAGAATCAAGAACCCAGCTCATACAATTTTCTTTCCTTAATAATTCTTGGTTCCATTTAGGAGCAGATTTCAAATGCTAAATTGTTTTTATACTATTTGCCTCTTGTTTGGAACTGCCTCAACCAGAAACTTGTATGGTTACTTATTCAAGTAGCATTCGTGTCTTAGATTCTTATCTAAGAACCTAAGGGTCAGAACGGAACCAAATTACAGGACCATCTGCTAGTCCATTTACCTATGGCATTCAGGCATTTTCCTGGCATAGGCAAGAGACTTCAAAAGAACAAGACTTTTTTTCTCCCATGTTCAAAAATGTTTATCCTTCTTCTGTCCTGTATGAATCAGTGATCATGAATCAATTGAAGTTAAATTAGAAGGCCTCATAATTCAGAGAAATTTGCTATGAAGTTTATTTCAGTTTTAATTGTTTTCTCTCCTACTTTTTCTTTTATTTCCAGGTTCTCTTGGTTACAAACTCCTCCCTGTCTGGTACTGCAACAATGAGTGGGAAATCCCTGCTCTTAAAGGTCATTCTCTTGGGTGACGGTGGAGTTGGGAAAAGCTCACTTATGAACCGTTATGTAACCAATAAATTTGACTCCCAAGCTTTTCACACCATAGGGGTCGAGTTTTTAAATCGTGATCTGGAGGTAGATGGACGCTTTGTAACCCTCCAGATCTGGGACACTGCAGGGCAGGAACGTTTCAAGAGCCTTAGGACGCCCTTCTACAGGGGAGCAGACTGCTGCCTCTTGACCTTCAGTGTGGATGACCGGCAGAGCTTCGAGAACCTCGGCAACTGGCAGAAAGAATTCATCTACTATGCAGATGTGAAGGACCCTGAACACTTCCCCTTTGTAGTTCTGGGTAACAAGGTAGACAAAGAGGATAGGCAAGTGACTACTGAGGAGGCACAAGCCTGGTGCATGGAGAATGGGGATTATCCTTATTTAGAAACAAGTGCCAAAGATGATACTAACGTGACAGTGGCCTTTGAAGAAGCTGTCAGGCAGGTGTTGGCTGTAGAGGAACAGCTAGAGCACTGCATGTTAGGTCATACCATTGACTTGAACAGTGGCTCCAAAACAGGATCTTCATGTTGTTAAAAGAATGGAGGGAGCCTTTTAAAAGTGTATCCTAAATTTGTCAGTCAGTAGTTTATGAATAACTGCCCCTCTAAGGGGGCACACACATACACACACACATACACACACACACACACAGGCTTAGAGATAAAGTTGTGATTGTGAATAAGAGCCTTTCAAATAGAAGTTGGAGAGTGATTAAAAACAAAAAACAAAACACAAACTTTATCAATCCAAGTACATTTTGTGTGATTTCTGCAATGTCCCTTCTTGTGTGTATCAGGACATTTCAGAAAGTTTTAGTCCTGAGAGATTTAAATATTTTTCAAATCACAGTGTAAACCTAGAACCCAGTTGCATGAAGGAGTTAAAGAGCTACAGCCATCCCTTATAGCATTTCATTAATCAACCAACAAATGTCACCATCAGACTTTTGCCAAGCAGTTTCTACCATTTCTGCCAAAAGGGTGGGGGTGGGGGCGGGGAAGACTGAGTTATATTAGAATAAAAAATACAAATGCAAACAAGGATGTCCTGGCTTGAGTTGTAAAGGCTGTAATGATTAGGAATGTGAATGTATAATATAATATACACTGCCTTGTTTAATCCCAATGTATTGTTTGCTCCCTCTTGGAGCTTTTCAACAACAACAAAAAAAAACACCTCAATAAGAGATACACCAGTGACACTGGACATTCAGTTAACGCCTTGTGTTTGTAGTGACAGGGTACTAGTGAATGAATTATGCTTAAATATGCCAACCACTCTTGCAAATAAACGGTTGGTCTGCTTTTACTTTTGCTACATAGGAATGTTGCTTCTCTGACAACCTCATCAATTTAGCAATGCTGCTTAGTATATGGCTTTGGGTTCAGTACTCTCTGCTCATATTTTAATGATCCTTTGGACCACCATGTCGAGCTCACAGAGTAGGCTTCAGAAAAGATTGGGGGATAATGGGCTTTTTTCCACAAGGTTCCTTAACTTGAATTTATTGTAGAAGAAGGAACAGCTTTCTTATATACTGCACTATATGTTCAGCAAGCCAAATCAGGATAATTAAAAGTGACAAGGGAGCTGACTTTAACCCAGTGTTAGAATGTACTTTCTCACATATTCAGTTGTCCAACAGTAGAATTGTTGTTGTTAAGTGCCGTTGAGTCAGTTCTGACTCAGAACAACTCTGTATAGGGTTTCCAAGGAGCCACTGGTGGGTTTTAACTGCTGACCTTGCAGTTAGCAGTCCAGTGCTTATACTACAGTGGAATGGACTGCCTTAAATCATGAGCTCTCCTCCATTGGGAATATTCAAGAAGATGCTGGATGACCATCTGTTAAGATGCCATGAAAAGAATTTCTGTACTTGTTACATGTTTGGTCTAAGATTCCCTCCAGCTCTAAATTCTGTGACTCTATAAACTCCATTTCAGTGCCATGTTATAGTTTGATTTATTTTAAGATAACAACTCAGACTATAGAGAGGGACTTTGAAATGTGCACTCTATTCTGTGATTAGCCTTTAGCAGCCATTGTATAATTATTCCTTTTGATTTTACACTGTGGCAAGAAAAATTCTTAAGCTCAGAGTAATTCTTATGTGCCGTGATGTAAACATCCTTAAGATAACATGTTAAAATGCATACATGATTTGTCAGGTTTTTTTTTATGAATACGCAGTCTAGTTTCTGTTGCTGGATGTTTGTCCTGCATAACTTTTAATCTGTACTTTATGATAGCTGTTATAAAAATAGTAACCCAAGGTAGTGAGGGACAGTTAGACATAACACCCAAAAGAGACCTAGGCCAGGGAGGGGGTGGGGCCTTTCACAGGAATACAGCCTAGAACTCTCCATTGTAGCCACATATGAAATCAGCCTTACATGTGGGACTTTATGTGCTTTAAGAGCTCTGGGATTTTTTTTGGCCACATAGACAAGTGGAGGAAGGTATTTAAACCCAGTGATAACCAATAATTCCAGTTAAGACATAGTTCTGACCCTTTTGTCCAATTAACTTTGATGCCAGAAGTCACAGTCAGAACTGGTACCCCACAGCTCTTAAGTATAGGTCCCCATTCTACCTATGCCTATAGCCAGCCACACTGGTTTCCAAGTTCTATGATCATTTTGCTCTAATCATGTTATGGTGAAAATCTGTGCATTGCTGTAATCAGAACTATTAAATGCGAATTGTTTTTAAGTGCATGAGACCTGAGGCCTTCTCTTTCTACTTGCACTCTGCTTATAATCAGTTTCTATTTGTAGATCTCAGGCCTTCATGAGGACCTCCATCAACTCACAAAAGTACTTGTCTCTATTATAGTGGCATATGGTCATTGGAGTGAAAAATCACATGGGGATCTCATTCACAGACCTCCAGTTCATCCAAGACAAGTATTAATTTTATTAGCAGGTCTACTGAAGCCCCTTTCCTCTTAACCATACCAATTTTTTTTCCTGCCAAATCACAACATAATATGTTCATCAAAGCACTTAATATTAAGTGACAAAAACAGTGGCATTTTAGTGAGTAACACTCTGTGGGGTACTGACATATAGTTTGGGTGGGATTTAAAAAAACAAAACACCAAAGGCTAAAATCTGAGTACCAGGAACTGTGCATATAGGTTTAGAATTGATTGTGTACCCTAGAATGTGCAGTGGAATGTTTTTAATGGGTGTTTTATTTAAATGAACACTAGAATTTTTTTAACAAATAATTTCTAATTAGAACTATACTCAGTTTTTCAATGGTCCACTAAAACGTTATGCGGAATATTTATTTTTAGGTATTGGGCTAACATTCAGGGGGCCTCAGATTCCATGTGTCTTCAGTGGATTGATGAATTTCAGGTGAATTTCTTCTTTATCCTGAGGTATCTCACAATCCTCTTGTTGCAGGTGCTGCTAAAAATCTCAAATTTATGTATCAGATATTATGTTTCAAATGTTAAAAATCATCTGTGTTAAATTGAATAAAAAGTGCATTTTGAATAACCAGTATACAATGTCTGTGCATCTTTCTCTCATTTTCTCCTCTTGAGCAAATGTTGAGTGTGAAGTACAGTACTTACCAATCAAGTATTCTTTCTTGCTGTACTGGCTAGGCCCTCAGGATCATTTTTCACATGGCATTCCAGGGAGCCATTCCTTAGGAATCAAGTCAGAAGCTATTCTACTGATTGGAAAACAAGCACAAGATCAGGTTGGGGAGGATCCTTTTTTTATGTGACTTTCTAATTCATAAATAGTATTGGGACTGGACATGGAATTTTGACTATTCACATTATTGCTTTATTATAATTTAAACCAAATGTAAACATATATATTTTATAAATATACATATCATACCTTGTTGTTGTCAGGTGCCACCGAGTCGGAACCGACTCATAGCGACCCCATGCACAGCAGAATGAAACAATGTCTGATCCTGGGCCAACCTCAATACCGCTGTCACACTTGACACCATCAGTGATGCCACCTGGCTGATCCATCTTGTTGGGGGTCTTCCTCTTTTTCTCTGACCCTCCATCTTACCCAGCATGACATTCTTCTCCAGCGACTG